ATGCAATTTATCCCATAGAGTGAAGGCAAGAATCACATGATTATTTCAATAGTTGCAGAAAAATCATTTGACAAAGTGCTGCACCCATTCCTATTTGAAATACTAAAAAAATTAGGAAATAAAGGAACTTACCTCAACATTGTAAAGGCTATATATGACAAACCCAAGGCCAACATTATACTGACTGGAGAAAAACCAAAAGCATTTCCTCTAAAAACAGTAACAAGACAAGGATGCCAACTTTCACCATTCCTATTCAACATGGTCAATGAAACTCCAGCCAGAGCAATCAGGCAAGAGAATGAAATTAAAAGGACACAAATAGGAAAAGAGGAGCTCAAGTTATCTCTGCTCATGACATGATCCTATATCTAGAAGACCCTCCCCCCAAAAATACTCTACTAGAAGACTTCTAAAGCTCATAAATGAACTTATAGTAGCAAAATATAAGATCAACACTCATAAATCAATGATATTCCTACACTCCAATGATGAGTCTACTGAAAAAGAAATTAGGAAAACTATTCCATTCATAATATCCTCAAAAATACTTGGAAACAATGTAATATTATTTTTAAACTTAATGAGATAATGGGCTGAGGGTATAGCTCCATGGTAGAGCACTTGCCTAACATGAACTAGGATTGGATTCAATTCCCAGCACTACATAAAATAAAATAATAAAGTTGCATAAAATCATACTATAAATGAAATGTCTAAAGAAGTTGTATAAATATTAAAACTTAATAATACATGATCTTATCAGTAAAGGAAATTCCAGTTTTGTAGCATACTAACATTTAAACTTCAAGGAAACTGAAAATTTATGGGTCTGATTCTGTTACTATCTATCTAGCTTTGTGATTCTCAGAACTTCAGTGAATCTCTCTGCCTGTATTTATTTAAGATAAGATAAAAGGTTTGGTTCAAACAGACCATGACTTATTTTTCTAAGTAAAATTTTCATTCTGAGATCATTTTAGGCTTAGATTCATTTAAAAAAGAATACATACAGGTCCTGTGTGCACTATATCTGGGTTATCCCAATGGTAACATATTTCAAAAATCTACTACAAATCACAACCAGGATGTTGACAATAAATAGTCAAAATGTGAAAATTCCATCTTTCATCTTGCTGTTTTGTACGTATACCCTCTTATAGCTTGTTCTCAGACTTTCTTTAATCTTCTGGCAAACACTAATCTATTTTCCATTCCTATGATTTAGTAACCTTGAGAATGCTATAGAACAGGAATTATGGAACACATAAGCTCTGAGAACTGAATTTTCTCATTCCCTATTTTCTGGGGAGTCATCAGTGAGCTGTTATTGTATTCATAGTTCATTCCTTTTTATTGCTCAGTAGTGTTCCATGATTAGAATGTACCAGAGTATTTAACTATTCAGCCATTTTCTGTGGTGTTTGTAGATTTTTCCCATTATGAATAAGCTATTATAAATCTTTGTGTATAGGTTTTTGTGTGAGCATTTTAAGTTTTGATTTCTCTTAAATTTTTTTTCAAATAGTGTGTATGATAGTTGCATGTTTAGTTTCTATGAAATTGACAAACTGATTTTCTCCAAGTGTCTGTAGCATTTGGTACTTTTATTGCAGCTTTAATTGTGTAGTAAGTTAATTTTGTAGTAAGTTACTTCTCATTTTGATGTCAGTTTGCATTTCCCCAATACATAATTATTGTTAACATCTTTTCATGCACTTACTTGCCAATTTTCTATACTTTTCAATAAAATGTTCTTTCAGTCTTTTGCCAGTTTTCTAATTTGATTATTTTTATACTGTAGGTTGTCAAAAGTTCTGTATACTAGTCCTTTGTCTGATAAGCAGTTTGTCAATAGCTTTTGTGATTTTATTTCTGTGTTCTTTACTCTGTTCTATGGACCTATTTATCTATCCATCTACCAAAATTACAGTATTTTGGAGTAATACTTTTTGGATTTCACTGGATTTTTTAAAAGTATAGGTTTATGTTATTTGTTAAATTTGGGGAGTTTTCAACCATTTATTTCTTTGAGTGCTTTTAGAAGGCACAGCTGCCTTCTTTCTCCTCTCTTTCCAGGACTGGAAGGACATACAAATGTTGGACATTATGTTACAGTCCCACAGGTCTCTCAGGTTCTGTTTCATTTTTGTTTCTTTTTGGGCCCTTCTATGTGTGTGCATGCAGACAGGCACATTCATATGTGTGTGTGTGTGTGTGTGTGTGTGTGGTGTGTGTGTGTGTGTGTGTGTATACTTATTATGTCTGAACTGTTTAGAATGGGTATTTTCTATTTGTCAGACTTACAAGTCACTAATTCTTCTGATTTCTATTTCTTTGTTTAGGTTTTTTATTTATTTAATAAGACTTTCTACTTCTTCAGCTGTGCTTGTAATTGTTTACTGTCTCACATTTTATGTGGGTAGTTTTAAAGTTTTTGTCTTATAATTCTATTATCTCTGCCATAATGGTTTGGGGAATCTATTGGTTCATTGTTTTTCATTTAGTTTAAGATGGTTTTGTTTCTTGGTGTGAAGAAAAGTTCTCAGTTGAATCTTGGATATTTTGGATACTACTAGGTTATGAATTCTAGAAATTATTTAAGTCTTCTGTTTTTGATGGTTTCCTATGACACACACCAGCAGGGAAGTGGGGGTGGAAAAGCCCTGCCTCATAGTTCCCTGGAGGGGACAGAGGTTCACTCCCTCTTCAGTGATGGTTCACCATGGAAGGAGGGAGACTCATGAACATGAATGGACAAATATGGTGATGGGAATCTAAACTCTTGGATTTTTGTCCAGATTCTGTTACTACTTAGCTTTGTAACTTGGGGAAACTAAATAAATGTCTCTGGCCATGATTTGTTAAAATAAGAGGAAAGAATTATGCCATTAAGTTATCATTTATTCTTTCATGTTAATACTCTATTTAAAATAAGAATTAGAAAGGATGGCCTATCAAACATTTTTTAAACCTATCAAATAACACTCATGATTTTAATTAGAGCCAATTAAATTTCATAGAGAATGATACAATGAAATTAAGGAAACATTTCTCTTTGAACTCATGAAGCTGATACCAACTTGTGATTTGAGAGATATTTTTTGCACACTTATTTTTTAAAACCCAGGCTTGCATCTACCTGCAGCACAACTGCTTGCTAACTGTAGATTTCCTGAAAAAATATATATATTTTGATATGAGACTTAAGAATATTTTAAAGTCACCTCTTACAATTCTTATATGCACAAACTGGTTGTGAATCACTGCTTTCACTTTAATAAATTGTCAAACTTCAAGAAAAATGAAATTTGATATGCTATTTCCAAAAAGAATAGTAGGTCAAAGGAACAGAAATTCTAGTAATCAATTATAGAAATTTATGATTGAGAAGAAATAAGGTCTATGCTATTTAAAAGATATGACTATACATTTTGGCAAACATTTTATGAGCAAGTAGAAGATTTGGATGAATATCATAGAAAGGTATAACAAGTGGTGTAAACATATAAAGAAGTATGATATTTATAATTAATTATGATTATAAACATTACAGGGGACCCCAAGGAAGTGTATTTCTATGGGTACGAAAGGAAAGACAAGTGAGTTAATTGTGTAGTGCACGTGGTAAAGGTTATTATGTTTTACACATAGAACATATTCAACAAATATCAACTTTAATCTTTCCAATCACATAGAGAAAAACATCTGCAAATAATCATGATTATGAAACACTTGAAATATGTAAATGTAATGCATTAATTCAAGAGGATAAATTTCAAAAGCAATTTGAGCTTCATACAAAATATATTTTTGTGTATATAATAGTGTCTTATATGGGTAATCATATTTTTCAGATGAGATATTCCATAATATCCACTGGTTCTTAAAATGTATTATTATACCAAGTAGGTTAGCACATTAGCTTGCCTTTTTAAAGCACTAATGTTTAAAAGATACAGGAAAAAAAAAAAAAAACTTGAGCTACTTTTGGTAAATTTTCATCTTGAGTTTTTCCTTAAGGAAAATTTATGGAGCATCTGTGGTCCACCTGATGCAGAAATTACATATAAATAGAAAGGCATTTGTTCTCAAGAAGATCGCATTCTAACACTAGAGATAAATGACACAAAATGATAATAATATTAGTAATACTCTATTTTTGAGAGTGAAAATAGCAAATAATCAACTAAGTTTTATGTCCTTTTTAAACCAATAATATTGAGAATAAATATTCTTCCTTCATTGAAGAAAATGACTGCAATGTGTACTTGTAACACATATTTTAAGTTTCATAGAAGAACTCAGATTAGATTATGATTAGAATTAGTCTATGCTTTTAAAGCAAGACACAGGATTTTCTTTAAGATTCCAGATAATTGATGAATGGTTGCTTGATTTACCTCTTGGAATAGCCTAACTGGCCTTACTAAGAATTTTAGATTAAATTCAAAGCAAGCACACTCACATGTACACAAAATATTACTACCTTTCATTACATTAAATATCTGAATTACAGACATCAAGAACCAAATATTTAAGGTATTAGAGAATTTTTTAAAGGAGCCATGCAGATTTTATTTCATGGACCTTAGAATACTATTCTTCATGAAATCTATCACATTCCAGGAAGACTTAAAAAAAATAAAAAAACAACAAAAAATAGTTTCTCACCATTACTCTTTGCATTATGTCCATATTGCTAAATATTTTTTGAGATTAAAATTACAAATGACTGATTACAAGAGATATAAATGCAGAGCACAAGTAGGACTGTTGTTCTAACAAAAGAAATTTGCATGCAAGCTTTTCCTCATGAACATAAGAATTTAGTTAAAGATGAAATCCTGAAGGATATTCTCATGACAGGATGAATCTATTAGTGTACTTAAGTATTTACAGACCTTATTCACTTCCAAATACTTTATTAATGTCGGAAACAAGGCAATTCCTGGCTTGTAAAATGAAACAAACCACCCTAAAACATCTGGCATACTTACACACTTTTCGCTGTCAAACACATAGCACAAATGTTTATTTGACTCAGAATCTTTGCATATGAAAGTGAATATCCTCTTGTCAGTTTTATCATCTGCACAAAATGATATTCTATGAAGCTGGCAATTGTGTTGGACTTCCTGTGAACACAGATGGAAATAAATACTGTTGATGGCAATTTTTTTTCTATTTTCTGAAACACCAGCATGTGTTAATAACATATAACTTAAGACTTGAAAAGTGTAATAATCATCTGTTAAGCTTTAGTTTAACAATTACATATACCCCAAATTTAAACAAACATGCAATGTAGATGAACCTTCTGACTCAGGATTAAACTAAGATATTCATTTCAATAGTACTCAAAAAAACACAAGAATATAAGAGAATCTGAGTCCCACAGACTTCCAGAGCTTCAAAGCATCTTAAGAGACCATATACTTTAAATCCTTCATGTTTATACAGGAGAACTTTGAGGCTCAAAGAGATTAAGATACTTCAAAAAAGAATTAGCCTAACCTTTTTTTTTTAATCCCAAATTCTTTTCATTTTATGTCATTGCTACTAACTAGCATTACAATTAGAACATAACCTCATCTGGAGAAAAATTTCACCCAGAACATACCACCATTTTCACTCCTAGTTTTTTTTAATTGAATTTTATTTTGCATATCTTCATAGTTATTCATACACTCCTGAACTGTTTATGTCTAGGTAGGTCAACCTTGCAAATTATGTAATGTTCTCAATGGGAGAGGCTTCAAATGACTGCATAAACCCTGCTAATTGGTAGAAAGACAAATAACTGCAACCAGACGTAGAGCTGCAGTACACTAAGTGCACACACATACAGACATATACACAAATAGTGAATTATAAAACTCATGCAAAACATCAGAATGTACTTAATTAAAGTAAAAAAATATATAATTAAATAATAATGTTTTACAATACTATTATTTAGTCAAAAATTGAGTATTCAATACTACTTATATACTTACATTCCAATAGATCAATATTATTTATTTATCTATCACAGTTTTCTGAAACATGTTGAAGGTGAAGAAAAAAAAACTTATCTATTTATTTAATTATGAATGATGTAAATAAGTAAAAAAACCTACTGTGGCTCTTAGTATCTTTTTCCTCCCAGAATGTGTTACAGTACTAGGAATAGGAATCAGAAAGTCAGGCTACCTGTATTATTTAGTGGGTATTGTACATGATTACAGATGGAAGCAACTATAGTTTCAGCCAAGAAAGACAAGTGAATGTCCCCTTAGAAAACCTCACTTTAGTAATGTTTCTCTAAAAGTGGTTTCAGTCTACCCTTAGGACAAATACCTGGGTTGCCCATTGCAAACACTTGCCTCATCTTCACCCAGATCAATCAGAATCTCAGAGATTTTGATCAAAATAAATATCACTAAGGTAATAAAAATTCTTATCCTCTCAAGCTCAGAGTTTGATATGTCAGCTTGTTAAGATTTGATCTATCATTCTGATTTGCATTACTGTTCATCAGACTAAAGATTAGCATACAAAATGAGAAAGATAAAGAAATGTTAAGAGAATTTGCCAACAACATTGCATTTTTCCTTAGATGTAAACCAAATAGTAAACCACCAATGAATTTCTTGGCAAGCCTGAAAATTGAAAGAGGAAGAATAGTGTTTGCTTGTAAAGTATTACTAGATAGCTCATATGTCTATGTCAACAGTTGAGAGGAACAGCTTTGAAGAGAAGGTTCAACTTATATAGGCTTTTTTATACAGAAAAATTAAAAGATTTGTTAATATAGCTGGGTATACCTGTAATCCCAGCAGCTCAGGAGGCTGGGGCAGGAGGATCCAGAGTTCAAAGCCAGCCTCATCAAAAGTGAGGTGCTAAGCAACTCATTGAGACCCTTGCTCTAAATAAAATACAAAATATGGCTGGGGATGTGGCTGTGGCTCAGTGGTGGAGTGCTCCTGAGTTCAATCACTGGTTCAAAAAAAATGTTAATGTAACAGCAATGCAAAAGATATAATGTGGATGAATTTAATTCTTTTTCAATTGATACATATTAATCACATAGGCTTTTCCTTGTAGTCTGTGCTTAGATTGACAATGATCACTAGGTCTACATCACTTTAATAACTACATAATAATGTTAATGGTACATGAAGAGGCAACATCACTGCCATGCCATATAGAAAAATTATTCTAAAGAGAAATGACAAGGAAAATGCAAAACACCATTCATATAGCAGGTGGTCAAGTCTAGGATGTGCTTTATTTATCCACCAACCAGTATGAACAGAAAGCCTTAGTTATAAACAGTGTGAAATCATCCTAATATTTGTGTTAGCAAAGGTATCTTCCAACAAAAGAAGATTAGGGAGCTGAAACTTGTAAGTTCCTTATTTTTGAGGTATTTGAGATTTTTGTTTTTTGTTTTGCTATTACTGTGATAGATCTTTATGGATATTTAATGTAGCATTACTTTTGGTAAAATGGGATTTAAAAAACCAGGAAAACAACAAGCCACAGTGCAGACACACATATCCTTTAATACTATTTCAATGGAGTTGAAACAAAAAACAAATGAATAAACATCTTAGCCCCAGTCATCTACACCACATGCTTCCCACATCACATAACCTTCATCAGGAAAATGAGTAAGAAAAGAGAAAGGGAGAAAGACAAGGTACCAATAAAAAGGATATAGGAGTCAGGTGTTAGATTGCTTTTGGTTCCATTTTGCCCTCTCAATTGGGAAAGAAAAATATTATATTTTCTATAATGTTTTAAAATCCTGCTTCACACATTTAACTATAAACAAATTTATTTTAGAAGTTTCATATATGATTTTTTTTCTTAAAAATATAAAACATAGACCTAAAATGAAATGAATGACAGGGTGTTTTTCTGGTCCGTTCATGTCTCCCTGGTGTGGTGTGGTTTCTAAGTACATGTGTGTGAACAGGCCGTACTGAAGTTCCCTGGAGCATGCTTGTTCCACCCTCTTCCACTCTCCACTCACACACCTGTCCTTTTTCTGCAGATTTAAAATGCCCAAGCAGACTGCAGAAGTCACTCCACATTCTTTAGTGTGCCCTGGGGCACTAAGGGTCTGCAGAGTTTGTAAATCCCTTTTTCTGTACCAGAGATCGAACCCAGGGCACTTAACCATTGAGTCACATCCACAGTCCATTTCATTTTTTACTTTGGAACAGGGTCTTGCTAAGATGTTCAGAAACTCTATAAATTGCTGAGGTTGGCTTTGAACTTGAGATCCTCCTGCCTTAATCTCCCAAGTTGCTGGGATTACAGATGTGCACCACTACACGGCTTACCTTCATTTCTTAATGGAATAAAAGAAAAAGAAAGAAAGAAATACTTTACATATATGAGTAAAGAGTAAGATACAATATACTCATATGCAATATCTGAGTAAAAGTCACTTATTATATATTCATAGGTAGTATAATTGAACATACATATCATCTCAAAGATCTTAAAACCCCGAGATTATTCTTCATATTTTTTGGGAATAGAACTTCAGATGCTTCTTTCCCATTCAAAGCTTAGAAAATTCAGTATTGGGGAGAAAAATACAATTGAAGCTCTTTAAAAATAGCTATTAAGTATAAGAAATGAAGAGTTTTGAATAGGAAATAAAATTGGCATTATTGATTTGAGTAAGGTCATATAGAATAATTATAAGTCTTGGTTTTATCCATTCATCTGTTGATGGGCACCTAAGCTGGTTCTATAACTTGGCTATTGTGAATTACACCTCTATAAACACTGGTATGCCTATATTAGTAGAGTATACTGATTTTAGTTCTTTGAAGTAGGACAGAAGAAGCTGGACACCCAAGAAATTTTCAGGAAGCAGGTTTATCCACTGCTGTTGGTCCAGAGGGGTTGTCACCTAAAATTCTCTGGACCAAGAGAATTTGGTCCATCAAGAGCTATGTAATGTTTTGAACAACTAATAATAATAATAATAATAATAATAATAATGAGAATTTGGTCCAAATTTGAGAGTAAAAACTTAAGAGAACAGAATGATGGTTGATAGGCTACACTTATTGGCAGAAATTTGGAAATGCTCTGAACTTTATATCCAGTGGGAGGAGGGGCTTAGAAGTTTACATAAAAATAATGTTTTTCTTTGAGTTCCCAGAAAGTGCTTTTTGAACCAGATAGAGATCTTATAAATCTTTACCAAGATAACAGAGAGAATATCTTTTTGCACAACAACCTTGACTGTAGATTCTAAATCTATCATACCTTTTGTGTGCAAACCTGGCATTTATAAGAAAGAGGAAGCTTCAAACCACAATTCCCTTTGCAGACATTCTGCTGATACTCTTTGTAAAAATCTGATGATAGGAGAAGCTTAATTATGGCCAGAGTCTTCTGGGTGGGGGGTCTCTGTTCCAATTTACGTTTGGATAAGTACCAAGGAGGGAGATAGCTGGGACATCGGCAGTTCCATTCTTGGCCTTTTGAGGAATCTCCACACTGCTTTCCAAAGTGATTAAACTAATGTGCAGGCTTATGAGCAATGGTAAGTGAACCTTTACTTCACATCCTCTGTAGCAATTATTGCTATATGTATTCTTAAGGATTTCCACTCTAACTGGAGTGAGATGAAATCTCAGTGTAGTTTTGATTTGACTTACACTGATTATGAGGGTATTCTTACACAATGAAGTTTCACTCAGTCATAAAGAAGAATGAAATTATGTCATTTGCTGGTAGAGGGATGGAAATGAAGAATATCATGCTAAGTGAAATAAGCCAGACTCAGATGCTGGGGGCTGAATGTCTCCTTTCTTGCAGAAATTAGAAAGAAATAAGGGGAAGAACAAGAAGTGGAAGATATCATGACAAAAAGGAGAAGAGTAGAATAAAGGAAGGAGATTAAGGGGAAGGAAAGAGGGTTATGTAAGGCAAGCAATTGTGGAAAGAAATTCACAAACATGTGCATATAGGAATACCTCAAAATGAATTCCACTTTTATGTATACCTATAATGCACCAATTAAAAAAATAGATAAACAGAAGGAAAACCAGTACAATATAGGAAAGGGATCAGAGGGAAGGAAAGAAGGGATAGGAAAACTCTGGGGATTGGGATTGAGGATCTATGTTTTATACATATTTATTTTATGTCAAAATGAACCCCACTGTTATGAACAACTCCATTGACCTAATAACAACATTAAAAGATCAACTGATTAATGCTGTTGAGTTGAACCCCATGTAACTGATATTTTATAAATGGAATTTAGATGAGGGAGGCATGGAGATTTGAGAGTAAAAACTTAAGAGAACAGAATGATGATTGATAGGCTACCCTTATTAGAAGAAATTTGGAAATATGATTTTTCAACAATAAAAATGGTAGATGGCAATCACCCACTTTCTTATCATTTTTTTTGCCTTTGTTTCTTTATCACCAGTAAAAAATTTTTAAATCCATGAGAATTTTTAAGACTATTTGCATTATTTTTTTCTTTGCTCTACAATATCACCCATATGATTTTTTTAAATGTAATTTCTAGTTTTACATTTACAAGTTTAGGAAAATTTTTTTTCTGCATTCCAGGAGAAACACAAAGATTAAGAGAGGAGCTAAAACAAATAGCTTGGCAAACCCTAAATTATTGGTTAATGAGCTTTACAACAATAGGTTTTCCCAAATGGTCAGGAAGCCAAGAAATAAAAAGCAAATCAATATGCTAGCAGAATGGGCTGATGATACTGGAGATTAAAATCAGTATTTTTAATTTTGACACTAAGTCTTGCTAAGTTGCTCAGACCAGCCTCAAACTTGTGATCCTCCTGCCTCAGCTTCCAGAGTAGCTGGGATTAGTCAAATGCCACTGCATCTTGTTTGAAGGTCTTAACTTTTCACACACCTTTCACTTGAATAAAATACTATTTTATAAAAGGTCATATGAAGTCATACAGGAAATAATAGGTTTAGTTAAAAAAGAAAAAGTTGCAATGCATATCCATATGCTCTTCACTTATCTGAGGGTAGCAATGTGCCACATTGCATTCACATGATCTATCTTTACATATAGACAGACTCCCACACATGTGGTATTAGTGGCAGTCATCTTATAGTTTTTAAATTTTTTATATTTTGTACTTGTCTGAGGACACACTGTTATTAAAGTGTCAATTCTAAAAACTAAATAAATCCATATTTGTATTTTCTAAATACCTATATTTTATATAAATTGAATATTTTGAATTTCCTGAAATTTTTAATAATAAGAGAACCATTTAGTAGATTATAGTGCATAGACTGCGTGTATGCATTTGGGAAAATTTTGTAGCCTACAATACATCATGTTAGTTCTGAATCAAAAAAAAAAAAAAAGAACATGTGAAAATGGCACGTAAAGTGCACATTATTGACACTACATATTTTATATTTCAAGATGTGCTTTGATAAGTTCCAAACAAGGACATAAAAATTTAATTAAAAAGTAATTAACATACACACACAAATATACACATACACTGAAACAGCTACACAATTTATAGGGTTTAGAAGAAAACTTTCAACACACACATGGGCTCCAAATGACCTACTCTGGATGGATGTGTGCCAGGATATACCCATTTAATTTTAAAAAGGAAATGCAGGAAGAGGATCATTTTTCTTTTTGATTACATGTAAAACTACACCTAGGTTACTATACTTCTGGCTTCACTACCCTCTGTAACTAATTGTTTCCTCATTATATTGACTTTTTTTATAACCACTATTTGCCCAAAGAATATTCTCAGCTCATTCACATATTCAAAAGATAAAACATCACTGTCACTTGCCTTATTTCAGAGCTGACTACACATATTTCATTATGTGCTTCAATCATTCTTCCATTATCCTTTTACCAATTCCTTTTTTCAGGACTTCCACAGCAGTTACTTTGGCATAGCTATAACTTAAGTAAAATCTCTATGTCTTTGTTGCTATTTAATATTGAGGATGGCTAATAGAAGGATCCTAGATTAGATGGTCTATTTGTGAGATGTCTTAAATCCATGTCTTGAAAAAGTTTGGAGGAATGCCATTGCTCTTTTTTTTTTTTTTTTTTCACTAGCAATGTGAATCAGAAGATTTATTTCCAAGGCACTGCAGACACAGTGACTGAGGCCAATAAGCTATTCTGAATCCCCAAACAATATTTGAGTTTTGACTTTGAGTATATATTTAAAAAAAGAACTAATTTCTTTTTTTTTTTCCCCTTTTTTTAAATTTTTATTGTTGGTTGTTCAAAACATTACATAGTTCTTGATATATCATATTTCACACTTTGATTCAAGTGGGTTATGAACTCCCATTTTTACCCCGTATACCAATTGCAGAATCACATCAGTTACACATCCATTGCTCTTTAAGATGGAATTGAATAAGAGTAACTGTGGGTGTATCCAAGTTATAGTCCCGTTGTTCTTAAACATTACAAATGCAAAATTTTCACATTGAGCGATTATGGTTCCATAGGATCACATGGGACCTTACAATTAATTTTTGCAACTGCTTCAAGGCAATTTTCATGCAGGTATTCCATGGACTACAATTTGAAAATGAGGCCTACTGCACATAGTCACCAAACCACATGCACTATACTCCTCAAACCTCAAGCACACAGGAATTACCAGGTTTTTCCATAAACTGTGGATTACATATTCAGTGGGTCTGGATGATAGTGCTACTGGATCTTAGACTGTACTTTGAGTTCTTGGAAGCTAGTATTCACATAGGTGAAGGTACCAATGGCATCTGCTGGGCTGTGGTCTAAAAGTTTCAGACCCATGAAAAAAAATTTCACAGTCTGTTCATGGGCTGGGTTTCTTTTGCCTTTATAACTGAATTAATTTTTCAATAAGTATTCTACAGTGATAGAGAAAAACTGACAATTTGAATTTGTAAAATGATTGGAGTTGAATTTTAATGAACTTTTCCAATCATGGTCTACAAAATTATTAAATAATTCAGAGGCACTGGGAATAAGCTATTATATTAGCTTAATAAGGCTGCCATCACCAAATATCATGGTCCAGGTGCCATAAAAAACAGAAATTAATTTTTTCACACTTCTGAAGGTTAGAAGTCCAAGACTAGGTTGTCAGTAGGTTTGTTGGTTTTGAGGCCTCTCTTCTTCCATATCCCGTGAAGCACATTGGGTGCATCTTTTTTCATATCACTCAAAGAAGAATTTCTAAATATAAGTGCAAGTGCTGTTGAATACATTCAGTATAAGTTATTGCATCTCAAACACTGGCTGAAGAACAGACTACTCAGAAAGAAAACTCCAAAAGTTTTCCCCTCTAAAGATCCTGTAGAGTTTTAAATCACCACTGAGAAATAATAGGCTCATCAGTAATGAATTTCAAATATTCATTAAAACAGATATAAATTACAATTAATTAAACATTAGAATGCTCTGATGTGCAAAAATAAGCCTTACCTTTGTTTTGGGTTCTAGAATTTTTACTCCATAAATTGATATTTGCAACTCAACTTTAGGGATTTTCTGGCCTTCAGATTTCTTGATGTGTCTTGCAAACTACAAATAAAAATTATTCATAAAAAACTTAATTCTGTTTTTGTGGAGAATGAACACAAATACACAAGTTTTCTTCAATGTCAGATTTTCATTAAATGAATTATTGCCCATTATAAAGCATTTTGTAAAAATAATCTCAAAGTATTTAGTAATCTCAGCACTTTACCATTATAATTCAGATTGGTTTTCAGTAACTTTATGAAAACATGATTTTCTAATGTACTTCTTTCATGATATTTGGAAAATTGAATTCATACCAAACAATTGAGAAAACTTCCTTGATAAATAGAGATAATTTTGCTTTCCTGTGGATCTTTTGCTTTTAATAGCTTGAGAGAACTTGCAGTCCATCAACTGTTGGATATGCCATCTTTGTTATTGCTAGATAGTTACCTAGTTTGGTGCACTACCCTACCCAATACCAAATTGTTGAACAAAAAGAGACACACTGTTATATCACAGTCAAAGCTAAGAACTGAGGTAAGTACCAGCTAAAACACTGAAATGTAGATCTAGATTCAGGTTAGAATTACAGGCATAGTGAACAGCTAGAAAACAATTTTCACAATTTTTTTTTTTTGTACCAGATATTGAACCCAGGGCCTTATATGTACAAGGCAAGTGCTCTACTAAGCTACATCCTCAGTCCAAGAAATATTTTAAGTGCTTTCAGAATAGTATTTATTATATATTTGTACTGAGTTAGTTAAATGTATATAAATGTATGTTAGGTTCTACTATAAAATCAAAAAGAAATATCAGAATACTCATTTACTTAGTAGATGCAGTTTCTAATATCTAATTTCTTCCAGCTTTACCAGATTTATTGGTGGAAAAAGTACAGGAACCCAGTTAAATGTGAATATTAAATAGTGCATATATTTTAGAACTTTATTTGAGAATACATACACACACTCATACACATATCCCAAAACACAAATAACAAGTATGCTATTAAGTATAAATATTTTTAGGCAATAATTTAGAACACACTGGCGTTTTTAAAAAGTTATTCATTGTTTATCTGAAATTAAAATTTATTGGGTGTTCTGATTCATCTGGCAACCTCACTGTCTCTTTCCTTTCCTTCTCACCTTGGTCCCTTCACCTTTCTTTCTAAGAAAGGAATGAGATTTTTTAAAATAGCTTCTCTCACCCCTCTTCTAGGACTTCCAAAAGTTATTTTCTAGTTTAACATTTTTTCAGCATCTGGATACTCTTCCTAATAGACTCAAAATAGATCATCTGTAAGGCCAGGCAGAGCTCCAGTCCTCTTTGTGTCATATTTATTTGCATTGCGCATTTCACCCTAATTTAGGGCAGATGTGAATACACATGGTATCTTTCAGTCCTGGAGCAGGGAGTGGTTAAAAGCCTTTTTCTCTGTGCACAGCTTTGCACTGCCATGGAGAGTAACATAATTAATGCATATATGAATGCCTTGAAGTGTCTGCCTTCATATCCCAGGGGGTACCATTTGTTTTTTCCCTTGTTAGGTGGTATAACTGTTCAGCTTACTGACTTTCCTGTTCTATGGATGTAGCCTGCTCTTTCTTTTTGCTTTTTCTGCGTCTGCAATGCTCACATTCTACACATGAATCAACTAACTTGTGCCAGATAATTTTCTTTTTTGTCTTTAAGAAATGTGTTTCTCTTTAATGAAGATCAAAAATTCTTCCAGTTCTATCCTAGAGAATCTGCATTAATTTTCTTTTCCCTTCACCATTTCCTACATAAATTGGCATCATCAAACAATTCAGGAGTTTTCACATATAAAAGCTTACAAAACAAATCAGCTGCTCTGCGTCTATGTGGAGGCATCTGTCTAAGCAAAGCAAGTCCCAACTGCTGGCTGTGGAACCATTTATTCTACTTGCTTCCTCCCTTCTGTCTTTTCCAAACACAGTAACAGTGGCTCCCCAGGCCTCTTCCACATCTGGACACAACCATCCCTCTGACCTCTGCTGAGAATTGTGCAACTTTTTATTTTGTAAAACGTCCACCACAAAACGAACAGTAATATTAAACTTAGTTGTCAGTAAGGCAAAAAAAGAAGAATGGAAGGAAGGAAGGAAGCAGGGCCTGATGGTACACAGACAGACAGACAGACACACACACACACACACACACACACACACACACACGAGGGGTGAGAAGGAAGAAAGGCAGGGAGGAAAGGGAAGGAGAGAGCATAAAACAGAAAACATCTGCCTCCAAGTTCCTGAATCTTTCTCTCTGCTTCACATCAAGATAAGTAATGGTACTCACAGCAGCTTCAGAGATCATCCAACCCAATCTTACCATTTCAAAAATGAGAAAAGTCCCTGAGAAGTTATGTAGCTTGGTCATAAAATGGGTTTGTAGCAACTAAGCCTAGAACATACCTTTCCAGATGGGCACCCAACTATCCTTCTTGTTAGTGCACGTTTTCTGCATTTAAAAAATAAAATTCACAGCTCTGTTTTCATGTATATCAAGGTTTATACTGGTTATTGGACTTGATTGATGAAAATATGCTGCAAAACCCTTATGCTTAAGAGTTTTTCAACTTCTATTCTAAACAATCTAATGTTCTCCTTCCTGTTTCCTTTTTCCTAAAACTTAAGCTTCCTGTGTTCTACACTGTGCATATTCCCCTCTGACTCTGCTCCTTTTTTCCTACTTGTAGACTTCTTAATTGTGCTCCCAAGTATTTCTAAGTTTGAAGTTTCAGAAGACATTGAAAGACATGCTGATAAACCCATCTTACATTAAATTCTTCCCCCCATTTACTGTAAGAGTGATTTTGCCATTTCTTTTCATTATTTCTTCAGTGGGTTTGGTTCTTGGTAGAGCTAGCTACCTAGAAGGATCTACCACTAAAACTTAATATGATAATCTAATATAAACAGTCAAAGGGGGTGAGGCTTACACATACTGAATAGTATCTGGACACAACAAAAACACAACAAAACCTTTTTCATCAAAAAACGATGAGAAATGATGAAGTTTTGCCTGAAATGTATGAAGTACTTAGTTAAATATATATTACTAAGTAGAACTGCTAAAGAAAATTTAAAGGGAGCCCTGAGCTTCAATGTCACCCTTACAGAATTTCTATTTCTCAAAGGACTTTTTAAAAAGTGAAATCTTGACCATATTACTAATGAAACATACACTTTGTGGCAAGAAATCTCAGTTTATACTTTGAGCCTATTATTCTGAGTTACTATTCACTTCTGTTGTTTGTTATATTTAAATTATTAAAGTATTCATAATAATTGAGTGGGGAAATCAGCTATGTTTGTATATAATATGATGAATCTCTAAACCTTTTATTAGTTAAATACTAGTTGCAAAGATAAAACAGTTATGCTGCACAGAAAGAGTGAGGTTGAATGGAAAAACTGCTGGGCTGAGATTAACAGGACTCCACAGTGAATCCCAAAGGCCATATTACCTTGAAGTAACTTCATATAATATCAGTGCAGCTCCACCAAAGTGAGGATTTTTTCTCTAAAATTGGGGCTCAGGAATGCCACCCCATGGTTATCTCCTAGGAAAACTGACAAGTTTTGAATCTGTATTTCAGTACTCATTCATAAGTAAACATTATACATTGTTTATGAAATATGAGACCTCTGATATTTATGCTAGTTGTGTTAACAAAACAACTAGATAAATCACTATTGAAAATGTAATTCAGTATAATAACAACAATAATTATATAAGTAAACACATAGAAACTGAAAGGGTTTTAAATTATTACATTTCAAAATATTTGGAATATTTTGAAATCTCAGGCTAAAAAACAATTAAGAAATAGAAATTACATGATTAAGAAATAGAAAGTATGTTGTATTCATAAATACAGCTTCCAAAAGTAAAGACTCCAATACTTAACAAAAATTATTACGTTTAAGAACAACTTACGAAGTCTAAATCTCCATTGACATAAAATTCTATATAAAAAATTGCTTAAAATTTTTCAAAAACTAAGCAGATGTTATGAAACAAAGAAACATGAAAAATAGATTATTGAAATCCTTAGTTTTGATCAGCTTGAATTAAATTTAGAATTCTTATTTAATGTTAGAAGGCAATATATTTAACATTGCAAACTTTTGAAAAATAAGTAAATATAAATAAAACGATACCTTATGTGTCAAATGCAGTCAAATCCTAAACTACAACAGATTTCAAAAATCAGTCAGAGTATATATGTTTGAGAAAAACAAGCAAGAAATTAAAATGGGGCTGTTTACACAAGCAGAATTTTTTGGTAGAGTCATAGCACCACCTGCTGGCATTTACATGTCAACAAAATTTAAAAGTCAACAGGATCAACTTTTTAAAAATAAGTGCAAATATCTTTGGTATAATTTGAATTGTAGCTCTGACCTCAAATATAGATAAATTAAAACTTACAATAAAATAGTTCAAATTTATTGTTTTATTCATTATCATTAATGCATGAATCTTTACCCTTTGGTACACTTTCCTGAGATACAAACTTTTTGAAATCAACCAAGTAAAGATTACGTATTAAACATATAATTGTTCTTGAAGACACTCAAGAGACAAAAGCTACTGTCAATTAGGTATACATTTTAAAACTACACTACATAATTTTTATCTTATTGTAAATCCTATTCATTCAAGAATGTGAAGAAAGAAGTAATACATAGGTATTTTTAACAAGATAAAGATGAGAAGTCTGTTGAAATAGTTTTTCTGATTTTAAAATCTCAGTGAGAACAGTATCCAGATGAGAAGCAATTAGATAAACATGTAGTGTGACATCTTACATAATATTGTTCTAAGGAAATATCAATTATGAATATGTGGAATTACTTCTGATTTTCTCGGGAAACTTGTTGATTATGAATGTACAGTTTTGCTTAGATCTTCTCAGGAATCTTGTTGTGTTGAGTCTATGGGGGCCTCTATTCAATGTCTTCCTCTACCCTCTGATTCTTACCAGTTCCTCTATAGCTGCTCATGGGCATGGCCTAATCTCTTATATTTGCACAATATACAGGGTCACTACAAAATTCTGCTTTGCAATCACCTCTAAGTGCATATTGCTGACTGGTGGATATGGATTGCAATATATATTTTTTTCTTTCTAGAATTTTTATTAATTTTTTGTTTATATATGACAATAGAATGCATTACAATTCTTATTACATATATAGAGCACAATTTTTCATATCTGTATACAGAGTATATTCACACCAATTCGTGTCTTTATACATGTACTTTGGATAATAATGTCCATCACATTCCACCATCATTAATAACTCCATACCTCCTTCCCTTCCCCTTTGCCCTATTCTCTATTCTTCCCACGCCACCTCTCCCTACCCCACTATGAATCAGCCTTGGATTGCTATATTATTGCCAGTTTTTGAGTGAGGGCATTGTCCAAGCAAAGTGAAGTCAAGCTACTATATGTCGACCCTTATGAAATACTGCCACTAAAGATTTTAGGGATTATGAGAAATTAACACTGTACAAAATACAATGTGCTGTATAAAGAAAAATAATTGTGTGTACATATTTATTATTTAAAAATGTCTCCTTGGTCTGGTAGTATTTATTCAATAGCTAATTTTTACCAGTGAGAAGCTATCCCTGCCACAAAACATTTTATGTTTTTATTTCCATCAATCTGTGATAATATGACAGGTTCCACACACACTAGGCATTAATTAAAGGAGTTTCCTTACCTTTAGTTTCCTTACAGCATCTCTCACAACTTCTGTTCCTTTCGGCTGCTCCACTTCTGTGCTGCCAAGAAACTGAAAATGGTCATTTGTGAGAACACGTGCTATTCTATATCATTTATCACCAGAACACTGTGAACTACAGCACTGCACAACTGAATGGTTTCACAGAATGCAAACTTAAGTTCTAATTAAGTAGAGGAACAATCAATTGATTTCTACTATTTTCAAAACATACGGAAACATAAATATATTACTTGAGCATTTGTAATTCCTATTATTCAGACTTTAATAAAAAAAGACTTTTCTTACATATTTCATTTTCAATTTTTTACTAGAAAGAAAGCAAACTGCTGATTGGGTCCAAAGGAATACAGTTGATCTCGACATTAAAAATTTAGTAAGTATTAACAATTAAAAATTTTCTAAAAATTCAAAGCACATAAATATTTTTATTTGTTACTACAGCTAAACTTTGATATATTTCAGATTATAATTTCACTATATTTTTCCTTGTTTTTCAACCATGAAACTCATACAGCATGTAGTGTTTAAAAGAAAAAAGTTTTTAAAGCCCAACATATATTATTCAGTAAGCTATATCTGGGTTTGACTTTTAAAAAGCACACAATTTATAATTTAACTGTTTCAAAATGACCCTGAAGGCAGTCACTGAGAGTGTTAGGTTAAATTTAATGAGTCTCCAAAAAGAAAAGTTTTCCTAATAATTATCATATTTTGAAAAAAAATCTCTATCCTGGAGAGAATTAGGTCCTCCTAAATGGAGTCCATCATCATAAGATGCCCAAGACCAATCAGATGAAATATGCAAGTTTTATTCTAGAAAATATTTCTATGAAATTGCACATATTTATTAAATTAATGAAGTATATAGTTTCCCAACGGCTGGTTTCCCTCTTGTCACATACCACCAACTAGAACACCATTGCCATCACAAATCTACCACTGCTCATATGTGTGCACCAGATTTCCATTAAGTGATTGAGGGGATGGATGTGTGTGCATTTCCAAAGTCGAAGGGAATGATATAGTAAAGTCACAGTATTTCTCATTCTTCCCTCCACTCTTGAAAAAATAGCAAATTCATTAAGAGTCTTAGTTTTTTGAAATGAGCTTTCTGTGTTACCCAGGAAGGAAGTTAAAAAGTAAAAATACAGATTTTTTTGGACAAATAATCCACAAATTTTAGGGTAGCACTAGGAACTTATTTATCTAAAAGCATTGTAATTGATGGCTTGGGCTGAAATCTGTTAGGCAAAATTTGAAATCAGCGAACAGATTATGAGGATAGTTGAAAGTAGATAAAAAGGGTAAGTTGAAAATACAGACATTTGGCATTTGTTTTTTAGGGATTGGCTAGTTTCACTTAGCATAATCTGCTCTAATGCCATCCATTTCCCTGCAAATTCTATGATTTTGTCATTTTTTAATGCAGAGTAATACTCCATTGTGTATAAATGCCACATTTTTTTTATCCATTCGTCTATTGAAGGGCATCTAGGTTGGTTTGAGAGTAACTAAGATCAGAGTAGGGACGAAGAGCAGGAGAAGAAGATTAACATTTAACAGGGATGAGAGGTGGGAGGGAAAGGGAGAGAGAAGGGAAATTGCATGGAAATGGAAGGAGACCCTCAGGGTTATACAGTGGAGGGGGTAGAGAGAGAGGAGGGGAGGGGAGGGGAGAGGTGGGGAGGGGGGAGGGGGGAGGATGGGAAAGGCAGCGGAGCACAACAGACACTAGTATGGCAATATGTAAATCAATGGATGTGTAACTGATGTGATTCTGCAATCTGTGTATGGGGGGAAGGTGGGAGTTCATAACCCACTTGAATCAAAGTGTGGAATATGACATGTCAAGAAATTTGTAATGTTTTGAACAACCAACAATAAAAAATTAAAAAAAAAAAAAAGAAAATACAGATGATTGCTGTTCCTGAGAACCTAAGCTGGGTTGCCCTGAGGCAAAGTGAAGTTCTGCTTCTTAGGTTCTATAAGGTACAAAGTTTCTTTTTCTAATAAGTTCAGATTCTACCAAACAAATGCTCCTGGGGCTTAGGTAAGATATGTCAGGCACTGTGACCCACTGTGACCTAAAGATGTTGGTGGACCAGGCATACATAAAATACCAAAATGAATGAAAAATACTCACCTTAAAAGGAATTGAAAACCTGTTCCCTCTCACCAGTGAGTCTGCTCATTTCCTGTGTTTTTTTTATAAGTGTTTTCAACTCTGGCTTCAAGACAGATTCACAGGAGGAGATTTAAACTATTATCAATGCCTACAAGTCTGATTCAACAGATAACATGTGTATGTTTTCCAGCTCCCAAGGTGATTTTAATGTGCTGACAGTTTGAAAAGCAAGGATAAAGGGTTCAAGTTACAGAGGAGGATGTAAGGCAAGAGGAGCTATTTAGCTGAGAGGAAATCCATGGGGTAGACTTCTTCTTCTCTACTTCTCTGAATTGATCAAAGCACTGAGAGACAAGTAGCTCCATCCTCAGCCCTTATTATTATTTATTTTGAGATAGGGTCTTGCTAAGTTGTTGAGACTGTCCTTGAATTTGCCATCCTCCTGTCTCAGCCTCTCAAGTAGGTGGAATTACAGGTGTGTGCCACACTGAGCAAAAGCATATTCTTTATGGATAAATTATACCTGTACTGAAGAAGAAAGGATCTGAAGTATTAGTGACAGTCTATAAGAGTAACTGGAAATATCTTTGGAAAAAGATTCATACTTTGGCAGAAATGTTGAGTCATTAAGTATTATATGCAAATAGGATCACATGGGAAAATTATGGAAGAACTCCAAGGATATTCTAAATGAATCTACCTCTAGCAGTGCTCTAGGAACCTTTTAATATATTTCTTTCACACTGGCTTTAATTAAACCAACTAAGAAATAAAACAGTGGTAGAAGCCTTGAATGATGGTAGAATTAAACTAAAAGACACTTTAATATGAACTTGCTACTTGACCCAGCTTTTTCTTATGTAATTAGTAAATAATTTTAAAATTAAAAAAATAGTCTACCCTTTATATTTCTTGCATATTTTTAAATTATAAAAGTCATAATTATTCTTTCTCAGTAAACAACTCATATTTACATGCATCTAATTTCTATATAAAATATTTATAAAACTTAAATATGATGTATCTGTGCTAGAATGAGCTCTAGGCTCAGAATCTGAAGACATTAGAAAATTACTTAATCTCTGTCTTATATGACTCTTTTGAAAAATACAGATAATAATACACTTCTCATAAAATCATTTCAACGAGCAACTGCAATAAGAAAAGGAAACACACTGTAAACGGAGACATGTTTTATAATTATGAGGAATTACCATTCCTTTATTTAATGATGGTCTGGGGAAGACACAAAGGTTTAATGGACACAGTTGTGCCTGCTCAGCTTTCCTGGGATCAGTGTCATCAGCTCACGGACCCCTCCTCCAGCTTGCCTGTGCTTTGCAAGTACTGACTCACGTGCAAGCCCTTCAGAGTGTTCTAGTTAGGCAATGAAGTCTGCTTGCCAGTACTGAGAGCTAGGAGCACCTGGGAGATTTTTGCACTGCTCCCATCCTCCTCCCATATCATCACATTCCTTAGCCAACCTCTTACTTAGTCAGGGGGTAGAAAAAACCTTCCTCCTTTGCCTGGAGGCATAAAGGTGTGATGCAGAGCTTCCTGGGGACTCAGGATGAGTAAGCTTCCCCCATGCATACTCTTCTGTGCTATCCTGCTTAGGTTCCTCTGCCTTTCCTGATTCTGTATTGATTTCACTGGGAGCACTCTCTTCACAAAGCACAGACACCTAAATCTTTAATTTGGGGTCAAATTCTGGGGCTTCCAGCCACTGGTTAAATGTTTTAAATGTTTACATTTCAGAAACATATCACCTTATACACAATGCCACAAACAACTAAAATTTACTGGCCTAAGTGCTACTGAAGGCTTGTACAAAGCACACAGGTGGGACGGAAGACTGTTTTTCATCATTTCTATTCTGCGTGGTGCCTGAATGGTGGAGGAAAAAAACTGAACTGAATCATGCCAGGGCCAATGAATTCAACCACCCTTTCTCCATAGAAGAGGTATCAACTAAACCAGGCCAGGGGAACTGCAGACTGCACCATGCTAGGCATGGCTGAGAGATGAAATGAGGTGCCTACCATGTTAGGCAGAAGTGCATATGCTGTGTGGATCACCTGACTCTCTTCCTTTGCCCGTGTTCTAGGATACCAAGTGTCAGTCTTATAAGTCTCCAGGGAGGAAAATTCTTCCTTAGTGGAAGTGGCCCAAGAAAAATAACACAACCTATGCTGACAGCTGAGGTTCCTACATGGAATAGATGGGTCACCTGATCAATCACCAGCTGACAATCCCTGCCCAAGCATATGTCACTCAAGTTGGCTTTTGAAGGTCTCAGTCTTAAATAGAAAGCACAGCAAGTATGTGTATATATTTTAGAAAACCCTCTCCCCTGAAGAACTGCTAAGAAAACAAACAAGAGCAAAAAAGAATGAGAAAGAAGGAAAAAGAGGGCAGAGAGGAAAACAAGATTGTTAAAACTCTAAAATCAATATAAATGTATTGAATTCATGATAAAAAGAAACAAGACACTCAGAAAAGCAGCATTTAGAGAACAAACGAGAGACCATAGAAATTAAAAATGTGACTTAGATGATTTTTAAAAGTAGTAAGAATACTGTAAGATAAAGTTGAAGAAATTCATCAAGAAATAATTACTGGATGCTTACTATTTTTTCAAGTAATATCCTGGGAGTTGAGACTATAGCAGAGAAGAAACCAGAGTAAATTCCCTGACTGTGAGACTTACATGTTAGTGGGGCAGAAGAACAACAAATGAGATCATATAAATAAGTAAATGGTATGGTGCTCTAGAAGTACTCTGGAAAGAGGGCAACACTAAGGGGCTGAACCTCAGAGCAAGTGGGTGTGTCTGTGGGTCTGGTGCCTGCTGTGCCATTTTAGAAGTTGGAGGAGACCTCCCTGACAGGGTCAAACAATCCAACTAGAAAGGGTGCAATCC